TTTATTATTTGTACTCATATCTGTTTATGTTATCAGACTCCCTTTTACTCCAATTCATGCCCCTTCAAATGATGGAAGTGATGTTTCGCTTGCTAAATTATGCCTTGAAGCTTGTTTGGATCCCTTATTAGATCTTTAGGATGATGACGAGTGATTTATTTTGTTCGCACTCTGTTGAAATCTGTTTGTAATTATTACAATGACTTTTACTTTTCTATATTCATATTTTGGTAGCCATCCTTTATCCTCAAGTGTAAAATGAACATTGATTTTGTTTTAAGGGATTTTTATTTTTCACTGCATATATTTTATTTTTTTCGCACTCGTATATGTTTATATTATCAGACTCCCCTTTATCCCACTAGGTAGTTGGGATGTTACAAAAGGAAATTATTATTTAATATTATTTTAATGTTAAACCTTATTCTTATAATTAATTAATTATTATTTTAGAATTTGAATAATGATATGTATTTTATTTTATGTATTTAAATTAAGTCTATGATGAAATTTTATTATTTAATTAATTAGGTATTTGTTTTTTAATTAAATTATAAATTAGAATATGGATAGGAATTCTAAATCCTATTCCATTTAGAATGAGTAATTAAGAGCTTATATAAAGGCCCTAACTCAAGCATCGTAAACATATATACTTTTGAGAATTAATAAAAATCAAAGCTTTGAGCTTTTGGTGAAATTAGTCTAGTGCTAATTTTCTTTTTCTTCAAGTTCTTCCAAACTAGATGAGCTTGCTGAAATCTTGATTGAGCTAAGGAATTGGGATTGACATATTAGTTAAGCCGTGACATCTTTTATTTTCTTGTTTTTGTTCTCAAGTTTTTGTTATTACGTTTTTAATTTTAGAATTCTAATTTCAATTAGAGGGAGGGTTTTAATTAGGTTATTTGAGTTTTGACATTGCATGTGATTAGGTTGAGATTCGAAGAGTCAAAGCGATCTTTCCCATATCCTCCCACGTCAGGTGGTATAAGAGATTATGTTGCTAGTGAACCTGTTTATGTTAATTGCTTTAGTATTCTTGTAAATTAATTAACAATTTAAATTATTTTTTTTATTAATTCGTATTGCATTATGCTTGAATTCATATATATCTATTTAATTCAAATGGTTCGTGTTTATTATAAAAAAATTATAAAATTAAAATATAAAAATATCCTAATTGCACACCATAAGAGAATTAGCACACTATTGCATATTGCATTCAAAAACATAGTAACTGCCCAGTAACTGAAATTGAAAAACCTTTATGGATTCAAAGGCAGAGTATTTCACCCAATAGGTGCACGTGAAAACTTTTAGCTTTCATTCCTTTTGCATCATTCATTTGCACAAAGCAAAAAAGAAGACTAACTCACCCATTGTGAGCGAAAACATTTTATGCTTCACTTTTAATTGATCGTTTTGTACCCTGAAATTTTGGCTTAAACGTTGTGTAAAGAAACTTGACCATTCATAAAGCATAGCCAATATTGGGTAGTATAATTAGGATACATCTTCTAGTTATATCCATCGAGATTAATTGGGTCCCTACGCATTATAGTTTAGCTAGTTTTTTTTTTTTTTATCTACGTTTCCATTATTTCACTGTATTTTTATTCCATTACATAT